AATAAGGAAGACTGAAGAAGAGTTGATGCTTCTGAGTTGTGGTGTTGGCAAAGAATGCTGAAGGTACCATGGACTGCTAAAAGAACTAGCAAATCTGTCCTGGAAGAAATGCAGCTGGAACACTCCTTGGAAGCAAGAATAGCCAGGCTTCATCTCACCTACTTTGGTCATGTTGTCAGAAGGGACCATTCTCTGGAGAAGGATGCTATGCTTGGTAAAGTGTAGGGTCAACAAAGGAGGGGAAGGCCCTCAATGAGATGGATTGACATGGTGGCTGCAGCAACGGGCTCAGGTATAGTAGGGATTGTAAGGCTGGCACAGGACCGGTAATTGTTTTGTTCTGTTGTACATAGGGTCGCTATAAATTGGAGACGACTTGATGGCACTTAACAACAACAACAACAACAAAATATACATACATAAGCTTCACTGGTTTTGCTTCTCTAAAGAACACAAGCTAAGACACAAAGGAAGTAACATCTGAGCTGAGTTTTGAAGGATGATGGATAATGAACAGAGAGCAGATAGTCCTCAGAGTTAGAAACATGAGCAGACCAAGAGGTAGAAAAATAAAAAGTGGTGCATGTGAGAAACAGTAAGATTTAAAGGTAGATGGAGTGGGAAGAGGACTGGAATAGAAGTGGATGGTGCTGGAGAAGTGGAACTATGGTGCCACAGGAGATGAAGGGACCCTTCAATGGAATGGAAAGCAGCATGCTTTCAATGGATGTTCCTTTTCCTTTATAGGTAGTCCTTGAGGTACAATGTATTCAAATTACAATGAACCACACTTACAACTGTCCTTTTTTTTTTATTTTTTTTATTATATCTTATTGTTGGGAGCTCTGGTGGCATTATGCCTAAGGCATTTGACTGCTAACCGGAAGGCTTGTGGTTCAAATCCACCAGCCACTCCTCGGAAGGAAGGTTGGGCAATCTACTTTCATAGAGATACCACCTCAGAAACCCAAGGAGGTGTCACTATGAGTTGGATTGGCTCAACAGCAGTGAGTAGTGAGTATTGTTAGCATTATGAACTACGTGAAATGTTGCAGTGCATAATTTGATGATGTTATCATTCTCAGAAGTAATGTTTCCAGTCCTTGAAGACAAATAAAAATCAGATTTATAAAGAAATTGACAATAAAAGGCAACAATAATTATAACTTGAAAAAACTGAAGTATTTGACTTACCTCATAACCAGCTTATGGTGAAACATTCATCAGAATGGAACCCCATTGTAAGTTGGAAACTACCTGTATTTGTTGTTGTTAGCTGCCATCAAGCCAGCACCTAAATCATGATGACTCTATGCATAACAGGATCAGACCATTTTGATCCATAGGGTTTTTGGAAGCTGATTGCCAGGCATTTATTCTTAGTCTCTCTTAGTCCGGAAGCTCCACTGAAACCTGTTCAGCATCATGGCAACATTCAAGGCTCCTCCACTGACAGATGGATGGTGGTTGTACTTCAGGTGCATTGGCTGGAAATCAAACTTGAATTCAAGTCTCCTGCATGGAAAATGAGAATGCTTGCACTGAACCACCACTACCCTCTTTCTTTACTTAGCCAATGGCAATTCTGCATCAAAGAGCTTGGAGACTGATAATTCAACACATAGGAATTAAATGCAACAATAATATGTAGGACCACAGAGGAGTTAATATGACAGACACGGAAAGAGAGACAGAATGAGAGAAAAAAGGGGAGGAGAAGGCAAGGGAGGGGAGAAAAGATAGAGGACAGAGAAGGACCAACACACATACATAAACACAGAGAGGGAGATCACTAGGAGACTGAAAGAGACAGAAGGATAGAGATGGAAAAACAGAAACAGAGACCTGTTGTCAATACATTTAATAACACACGTGTCCTCAGGTGGTCATATTTTCCAGGAAATCTTGTTGTTATTGTTGTTGTTTGGTGCCATTGAGTCTGTTCTGACTTACAGTGAACCCATGTACAACAGAACAAAACACTGCCTAGTCCCATGCCATCCTCACAATCGTTGCTATACTTGAGTCTATTGTTGCAGCTATTGTGTCAATTTATCTCGTTGAGGGTCTTCCTCTTTTTTGCTGACCCTCTGCTTTACCAAGCCTGATGTCCTTCTCCAGGGACTGATCCCTTCTAGTAAGATGTCTAAAGCACATGAGATGAAGTCTCACCATCCTTATCTCCAAGGAGCATTCTGGCTATACTTCCAAGACAGATTTGTTCATTTCATGGCAGTCCACAGTACAATCAAGATTCTTCACCTACATCAGAATTCAAAGGCATCAATTCTAGTAGAAACACATAAAAAAATTGCAATAAGATCAGACTTAAGTGTTATCAGAACAGTACATTGGAAGAAAGCAGCATATTATCAGAAGGAGGGAAAAAATAAAACAAAACAAAACACTCGATCATGAACTGTAATTACTGCTGAAGAGCAGAGGCTTCAAGGAGGGGTGGGAGATAGAGAATATCTCTTTCTCTTGATATACTGAAGTGTAGTTTTTTTTTTTTTTTTTTAAAGCATTTTTACCAAGTATTTATTTGTATATCGTTTGTGAGATAAACTTTTAAAAGAGTATGTATATGATCTCTCAACATCAACCAAGTCAGGCTTTTGACTTCCAATTTAATAGAGGAATTTAAGTTGATAAGGCGCCCTGGTGACACAGTGCTTATTAAATGCTTGGCTGCTAACCAAAAGGTTGCCAGTTTGAACCCACAACCACTCTGCAGGAGAAAGAAGTGTCAGTCTGCTTCTGTAAAATTTACAGTTTTAGAAACCCTATGGGGGAGTTCAACTCTGTTGTTTGTATGAGTTGAAATTGACTCAATGGTGAGTTTCTTGTTTTGTTTTTTATTAAGTGGACAAATAATCCTCATGGAGTAAGAGAAAGAATGATATGAATCAGATGAAGAGCAATACTCAAGATTTGTGATGAACAGACATTTGGGCCACGTGCTTAAAAGGAGGCTGGAGACACAAAATGTCCATGGGAAGGGTGCTACTGGCAGAGATCAGGCCAGAAGGGTACCCAATAGCTAAATGTGGCAACACTGGGCATCCAGCTCTCCTTATTCATGAAAGCCCTCTCAACAAACACACAGTTTCCTTGGCGATTCTGAGTTGGGGTATCAGGTAACCGCCATTGAGAGAAATAAAACAGAAATTTGACCAATCTCAGCAGAAACATCTTTGATCTGAGCTTTTCCTCTTAGTATTTGTATGCAAAACACAATCCTCTTCTTCCTCTGCATTTTGTCTGCTAAACAGAGGGAAGGATGAGATAACGCATTCACACACACACATACTCACTCACTGCCGTTCCTTGGGTTTCTGAGGCCATATCTCTATGGAAGTAGATTGACCAGTCTTCTTTCCGAGGAGTGGCTGGTGGCTTTGAACCTCCAGCTTTCTGGTTAGCAGTCAAATGTCTTAGGCACTACCCCACCAGAGTTCCCAGATAATGCATTAGCAGAGCTAATCTGAAACTCTGACTGAGGAGAATGAGAAGTCTGACATCTGCTGGAAAAGTGCAGACTGCAACTTGGAAAGGGATCCTAGACTGATTTTGTCTCACCATATTCTCTTACAGCTTTTCCTCTTTTACAATATTATTGTTGTTAGTTCCCATCTAGTTGGTGCTGACTCATGGCAACCTTATGTATAAAGCTGTGATCCATAGGGTTTGCATTGGCTAATTTTTGGAAGTAGAGCACCAGGTCTTTTTCTCTTGGTTTTGGTCTGGAAGCTCTGTTGAAACTTGTCCACCATGGACCCTGCTTGTATTTGACATCCCAGTGGCATAATTTCCAGAATCATAGCTGCACATAAACCACCACATAGCACAGCAACCTGACACATGGGTGATGAATTATGATATTAATAAATGTTTACTTTAGGAAATACAGTAAAGAAAAAAAAAAGAAAGAAAGAAAAGAAAGAAAAAGAAAACTAGCTGTAATAACATTACCCAGAATAAGGATTAGCATTTTGCTTTATTTCCTACCAGACTTTTTTATACACACCAATAACACCAACACATTAAACAATTACTTATTAGGTAACTTACTATGTGCCAATTATGGCTAAACGCTGAGGACACAGCAGTGAACAAAACAGACACAAACTTCCCCTTAGGAACTTGGAATTTAGTGGTTTAGATTGACATAAAACTAATAGCTGCTTAAACTACCTTTATGACAAACATTGTGCAGTCAACACAATAATAGCTAGCTTTTAAAAAATTATTATTATTATTGCTTACTATATACTAGGTATACCTGGATAGTACAATGGTTAGTGAATGAACTTAGCTGCTAACCAAAAGGTTGATGGTTTGAGTCTACCCAGAGGTTCTTAGAAGAAAGGCCTGGCAGTTTACTTCCGAAAAATCAGCCACTGAAAACCCTATAGAGCGTAGTTCTGTAGCACACATAGCTGCTGTAAGTCAGAATCAATTTGACAGCAACCACCACCGCCAATAACACAGCTAGGCATTATGTTAACTACTTTTACATGCATTATATGTTAAAGGGGAGTGCTTGTGGCACAGTGCCTAAGGCATTTGACTGCTAACCAAAAGGCTGGCAGTTCAAACCCATCAGCCAATCCTCGGAAGGAAGGTTGGGCAATCTACTTCTGTAAAGACACTGCCTCAGAAACCCAAGGAGGGATCGCTATGAGTTGGATTTGACTTGATGGCAGTGAGTTTTTTTAATATGCTAAAGTGTTTCCTATACATCTTATTTAATCTTCACCATGACTTGGTGAGGTAGGTTACTATTGTACTCCCCATTTTCTGATGAAGAAACTAACTCAGGGAAGTTAAATGACTTATCTAAGGCAAAATAACTGGTAACGGGGCTATGGCATGTGTGTACTTAGACCCTGCAAAAATCATCCAGCGCAGATGAGCTATGGAATACATGTTTCCTCTGTTCTTCCCTTTCTAGGTCTGATTGCTACTATAACTCAAAAGCTTAAGCAGTGGCCAGTATGATGGATGACGACACAGAACTGAGGACGGATGGAAATTCACTTCTAAAGGCTGTGTGGCTGGGGAGGCTCAGGCTGACTAGACTCCTCCTGGAAGGGGGTGCTTATATCAATGAAAGCAATGACAAAGGTGAAACGGCACTCATGGTGGCCTGCATCACCAAACATGTGGACCAGCAAAGCATCAGCAAGTCTAAGATGGTGAAGTACCTGCTGGACAACAGGGCAGATCCCAATATCCAGGATAAGTCTGGCAAAACCGCTCTTATCCATGCTTGCATTAGAAGGGCTGGGGGAGAAGTGGTCTCCTTATTACTAGAGAATGGAGCAGACCCCAGCCTCGAGGATCGCACTGGGGCTTCAGCTCTGGTTTACGCAATCAATGCGGATGACAAGGATGCATTGAAACATCTCCTTGATGCCTGCAAAGCTAAAGGGAAGGAGGTGATTATTATAACAACAGATAAATCATCTTCAGGCACCAAAACCACCAAACAGTATCTTAACGTTCCCCCTTCACCCAAGGCGGAAGACAGACAGTCGCCTCCACTGTGCACATCTCCTTCTGATATTGAACTGAAGGCCCCAGCCCTAGGTTCTCCACCCAGTGAGAAGGAGGATGACTTCTTTAGCCTCCAAACAGGGCATCCAAGTTGTAATCCCTCCAAGGCTATTCATGAGCCTGGGTCACCCAACAGGAAAGTCAGTAACCTCAAAAGGGCCCGTTTGCCCCAACTGAAGAGGCTCCAGTCTGAACCCTGGGGCCTGATTGCACCCTCCGTGTTGGCAGCCTCAACACGTCAGGACGAGACCCATAGTGCCAGCATGGACAATGAAATCATCAAGAGCATTAGTGACATGCCCTTCCCCAAAAGGGGGCCCCTCTCCAGAACCAACAGTATTGATGGCAAAGACCCCACCCTCTTCCCCACGGTCACAGAGCAAGTTCTGAAGATTCCAACCTCTTCTGCACCAGCATCCTGGAAAGCCACCTATGAGAAAGGTCAGGGTCCCCACCCCCGTCTGACCAGAAGAGGTACTCTCCCTGTTGACCAAGAGAAGGGTGGTATGGGTCCACCAGGACCCTGTGCTCTCAAAGATCCAACATCCCTCACATTGCTGGAGAATGATTTCTATGATTTAGATTTACAACCAGGGGCTGAGCCACCCAACTCCATTTCCCTTGAATCAGGCAAAGTACCCTTAGATAGAAAGAAGCTCAACAGCTCCCACTTGTCTCTTTTCCATGGCTCTCGGGAGTCCCTGGATGCCATGCCCAGCACATCCCCCAGCTCAGTGCGCCGCAGGCCACCACATCTTCTAGAAAGACGAGGTTCTGGAACTCTGCTACTGGACCACATTTCTCAAACTAGGCCTGGCTTCCTTCCACCCTTAAATGTGAATCTGAATCCACCTATCCCAGATATTAGATCTAGCAACAAACCTTCTTCCCCACTTGCTAGTGGCTTAAAATCCATGGTTCCTGTTGCTCCAAGTTCACCAAAGAGAGTTGACTTGAGAAGTAAAAAGAAGCTCCTCAGAAGGCATTCTATGCAAATTGAGCAGATGAAGCAATTGTCTGATTTTGAAGAAATCATGACCTAAAAGCTTTGCTCAAGAAAGTTTTTTTTTTCTTCAAATATACATAGTTTATGAAAGGGACTCTAATCTAGACCAACTAAGCCACGTGGATTCTCTGCATCCTCATCATCCCTTAATGTTGGTGTGTGGCTGCCTCAGAGGATGTGGAAACAGGGTGCTTCTTCACTTCTGGAATAATCCCTGGATTTTTATAGGTCTACTTGAAAAGAGCTCAGGATAATTGGGTTTTGGAGATGAAATTAAAAACAAATTCTCCAAGGGAAGAAAAATGTTTGGAGTTTGAAAGTAACACAGCAAGTACAATAATCTAAGTAAGCTATTGACACCAGTTACTTTCTATCAGACCAATAGACAGTAAGAATTTAAATCACAATATATTATTTGAAGTATGTCATTTGTAATAATTATATAAAGTGCCTACAAAGAAGATGAGGTTTTAACATTTGTTAGAATATGCCAAAACTCAAGCCAACCCCTAAGCTGTTAAATCTGGGTATTTGTGTTCCATTTGAAGGTATAGAAGCAGAATCCACCCCCACCCATCCCCACAGAGATTCTAGTGTGTGGGTTCTGCCTCTTACTATGTTGAGGGGCTCTGCCACATGTGATATGTCTAAGATCTTCCTGATACCCACCCAAAAAACCCATTGCCATTGAGCTAATAGGACTCATAGTGACCCCATAGGACAGAGTAGAGCTGCCCCATAAGATTTCCAAGGTTGTAAATCATTACGGAAGCAGATTGTTGCATCTTTCTCCTACGAAGCAGCTGGTTTGAACCACTGACCTTTGGTTAGCTGCTGAGTACATAACCTGTGCCATCAGGGCTCCTTCTGATCCTCAGTAACCCATATTACTGTGTTAACCCATATGGGCAGGACCCATACTTTGTGGTACTAACATGGATGTGCTTTGAGTCCCCCAAATGTCAATTAACGTGCCCTCCAAATTCTGATTATGTCACCATGGCTGGTGCCTCACAGATAAATCTTCACCCAGAAATGAAACTTTTCCTAGCCTTTTACCCTGGCACGGGCTCTTGAGAATAAATTTTGTAAGAAGAAGAAGAAGAAGAAAAGTCAGGGTCTGTTAACTAACTTGGAGTTGAAAGTGGCACAATTTCTAGAACAGATCATGACAAGAATTTCCCCAATTTTTCTTAAGAAAACTTGGTGAGATTTACCTAAAACAAGAATAATAAACGATGATGTGATGGGCACAGATTGAAATATAAAATGAATGATTCTCAAGCCAGAAGTAGTGGGAACCATTTAATTTTTTAGCCCGGAAATTTTGGGGGCTGCAAACTGTCATTTCTTCCTCACTTATCTAGGTAATTCAAGAAAAATCCAGTTTCCTCTTTGCCTGGATTTTGAGGTGATGGGAGATTTGTAGGAACAACAGCATTAGCCTTTTAAGCTACTCTGAATAAATCTGAGAAGGGAAGCAAAGACTTAGCACATTTGATGTGATGTAGCCACATTTTAGATGAAGGTGTTCTCGGTTATTTCCCTATTTATTTTCTTCTCTGATTCTATTCAACTACATTTGCTCTACGGTTAAAAAATTCAGTAGCCCCTTCTTCCCAGCATTGCTGAGATAGCATCACGTAGAGGAAAGAGTAAAGATTTGAATCTGACAGGTTGGGGTTTGCATCCTAGTTTCATCATTTACCAGCTGCAGACCCTGAGTAGGTTGCATACCTTCTCGGAGTCATCATTGCCTCATTTGTACAATGAAATTAGTAATGCTTCGCCTTGTAAGGCTGTGGTGAGTATCGAGATAATGTATGAAAATGCTTGCTGTTGTGCCTGGCAAAGGAAAAGACACTGAATGAGAGGTAGCTAACTTAATTTTTTTCTTGCGAGCTTAGAGTCCTTAAAATCTCAAATAGTGAATAATATCCTATACAAAATGAAGCAAAATCTAGCTGAAAAATGCAAGTGTCTTCTTGACATCCTCAGTGATTCTCTATATGCTGAGCCCTAGATTCACTTGTAGGAAAATTAAAATAAATTCTGCCACACAGCTCTATATATCATATCATTTCTATAATGACAAATCAGACTCACTGCTGTTTAGTTGATTCCGACTCATAGCGACCCCTATTGGGGTTTCTAAGGTGGTAAATCTTTATGGAAGTAGAATGCCTAGTCTTGCCTCCATGGAGTGGCTGGTGGGTTTGAACCACCAACCTTCTGTTTAGTAGTTAGTTGCCTCAGGCACTGTGCTACCAGAGCTGCTTCCATAGTAACATTAGCTCAAAATTTATCCGAATATTCCAAACCAAAGAGTTAATGATAGTTATAAATAAAGCAAAGTGCTTATTTTTTAATTATTCCTTTAGGGCAGGTACCATCTCAACCTCAGCACTACTAACATTTTGGACTGGATGATTCCTTGTCATAGAGACCATCCTGTGCACTATAAGAGGTTTAGCAGCTACCTGGTCTCTACCTACTAGTTGTCAGTAGTACCTCCCTCCCATACCTCCCTGAAACTTGTGATAACAAAAAAAAAAAAAAAGTATCTCCAGAGGTTATCAAATGTCTCCCAGAGGGCACCACTGCCTGGCTGATCACCACTGCCCTAGAAGAGTTACTGGGAAAAAGGCAGAAATATGTGCTTAACAAAAAGACCACATGGAGGTGTTAATGCAGGCTAGCTAGGCTCTCCTACTAACTTAAGGACAATTCAACTGTGCTTTATAAAATGACTAGTCAGTACATATCATGGGCCTTCAGGGTTCTTGGCAAACCTGAGTGCTAATGGGCTCTTATAATTTTTAGGAAGGAAAGAGAATAAGAAGAAAAGCACAAAAGCTAGTGAAAAGCTACAGTTCATGAACTTAGTATAATGTGGACAATTCATATATGTTTAGACTCATTTAATCAAGAACAGTTCTTACAAGCAGATGCAATTACAGCAAAGAAACAACTCTCCAGTGCATTAAAGGGAATCGTAAGACAGCCATTGTTCTCAATAGCTTATTAAACACACATACACCGCCCCCTCACATACACATTTCAAGTACTTTTCCAAGTGTTGTTAGTGACAGTTAAACATTAGCCTCTGCTGGTAGTATCTAGCTGTGGGGACAGCAAAACATGACATAGGAACAATTTTCCAAGACTTTAGCTAAGATTTGGAAGCCCCATTTATCCTAAGTAGTCACATGTTACGTTCATAGCAATTAGTTTACGTTAAACGTTAAACGCGATGAGTTGCTCATTCAGGATCATCAGTCCATTGCACAGATATGTAATATCAGGTACTTTTATGCCAGTCATTCCCTGTGTCCATTAGTTGTGAATTTACTATTGGCCTTTCTCTAGACATTCATCACCCATCACTATTTGACAATATATTAGCTGAATTAGACTGTTCTAAACTAAATACTCTGTTATGTTCAATAAAGTTTAAATACTCTATTATGGTCAATGCATAAATAAGCAATTTTGTCCATGTGAACAAACCTCCTAAGAATGTCCTTTAAAAAACTATATTTAGATCCAAACATGCTTTCTAGATCAGAAGTTAGCTTTTCTTTTTGGAGTCACTATCAAGTTAGTTGCAAACTATAGTTTCAATAACCTGTCCACTTAAGACTCTGGGATGTTTATTAAAATATATTACAGAATGTGAGCCTGAAGTTTAAAGTCTGGAACTTTAGTTTACTTTCTAGACATTCCAAAACCTTTATATATTTTTAAGCCAATTGTCAAGTCTCTTAGAACTTCATTAAGTAAATGGTACTCTGCAAAATGCAGGTTGTGTCTGACCACCCTCCTTTGTGTGTGTATTTCAGATGTACTTTGTGTTGCTTAAACTGATTCACTTCAGTGTTATATCCCAGTCTCAAGTGGACAATGTGCTCAAAGATGTATCAAAATCCGTGTAATAGAGCTATTTACATGTTTCTAATATATTAATAAAAGCTATAATGTAATCCTCCGATAGTGTTTCTCATTTTTCTTAGTAAAATTGTGAGGCCGGAGTCCTAAGGAGTGTGAGGCCTGAGTCCTAATGCCCTCCAGGTAATTCTTTAACCAGGAGTCTTTAGCTGGAGTCCTAAGGAATGTGAGGCCTAATGCCCTAATCTTTGTTGTTGTTGTTGTTTGCCATCGGGACCCCTCCTTGGGTTTCCGAGGCAGTATCACTACGGAAGTAGGATTGCCCAACCTTAGTGCCGGAGATTCCAGCACATCCCCCCTATGCCTCAGGGCTTTGCCTGGCTCCAGCACGTCTCTTACCTCAGGGCTTTAACTCCCCCCTCCAGATAATTATTCTCAAACCAGTCTTTAGTGCCGGATGTTCCAGTACGCCCCCCACATCTCAGAAATTTACCCAAAACACCCTCCCCTCCTACCCCCTAGCAACAACCAGTCATTTGTACCCCTTATCCTTGGTACTACTCCACCCTATATTTTTCTATAAAAATGTAATAGTAGGAGAGCACAGGGTCTTTTGCCCAAGCCGCTGCGTTGGTATAAGCTGAGACCCTAGCTTGAGCTAGCTAATAAACTTTCCTTTTGCTTTTGTATTATCGTGTCAGTGGCAGCTTCCTCACGCCGACACTCCTTTCAAGACCTGAGTCTAACAAAATCTTAATTATAAATACAGCAAAACCTTCCAAAGTCAGACCTGTGTAAGGTGGAGACCTGTCAGAGAAGGGAAATACAAATATTTTCCACTAAAATGATAGAATAGTTATAACACTACACCCTGTGAAAGGTAGAAAACTTAAGACATCCAGAAGAACAAGGCAATCCTGTTGAGTTCTAGTTCACTGTGTTACCTTTTCCTTAAATGGGATTCTGAAGGTGTAGTGGTTAAGGCATTTGGCTGCTAACGAAAAGGTCAGCAGTTTCAACCCACCAGCCACTCCATGGGAGAAAGATGAGGCAGTCTGTTTCAGTAAAGATTTATAGCCTCAGAAACCCTATGGTGCAGTTCTACTGTATCCAGTAGGGTCACTATGAGTTGGAATCAACTAGATGGCA